TATTTTACCACTGTTGTTGGATGGGTGACTCTTAGAACACTAGTCTCTGAAAAATTAAGCGACCACTAAGAGGACAAGGAAAGATATACAGTGGATGTCTCCAGATTTCCTCACATACATGTACTTAATACACAATGCAACTTCTCCCCACCTCCTTTACCAATCATCCTATATAGTATACACTTCTGGAACCATATTCTAGACATTGGTTCTGTTCCACCAAGTTATAAAGATATCTTTTATTTCAAATTTGCCCTCTCACATCATAATCTAATTCATCTCCCCTCCCTTACTTAGTGCATGTGTATATAGAGATATGTGAAGCTGGGGGTTTTACCACTAGTTCCATCCTTTAAGTTTATCTCTCTGAATTTCTGGGCATCTTTAATGCTTCTATTCCTGTATTGTAAATACTCTATCTGTACTTACAAGCAGTTTTCTACTTTCCTCTTTCCTTTTCAGTTAAAGCTTTTATTTAGACGTGCAAGGCTCCAAAGAGATATTTACATCCACTGTTAAGTATGCTCTATATCCCAGTTATTGAACCTTTGGGAGAATAATGACTGAGATGGAATAGAGAAAAAAAACGTAAATCAAGTTCAAAAGTCAGTGAAGGTGGAAATGCTGACAATAGCTAAAATTAAGTTCATAATTAATTAGTTCCCCATGCTAATTCCCCTTCACAGGGGAAGGTGCTCTACATATTTTAAGTTATTTTGAATCTGTCACTGTACCTACTAATTTTCATTCTGAGCAGTAATATAAGTTGTTGGTCAAAAATTGAAAGTGGTGAGGCAAGGAAGAATACAATAACTACATATCCATTTGACAAGACTGTTTACTCCAACTGAAGTCTTAAATATTTTATGAATAAGCAGTAATAAAATGATAGGTGAAAGATCACCACATATTCAGATAAAGAGGCTTACCAATAACTTGACTTCAATTTCACCAACATCATCTCCTTCAACTCTCAGCAACCATTTATATCTGTCCCAATCTTTAAAGGTTTATAACTCCACTGTTCACATTCTAATTCTAGAGCTGGTGAAAGGCTTCTGCCCCAGTGCCTAATACCTAGAAAGAAGCCCCAAATCAAGCCTCCACTTTTCATGTAAATGAAAATCATGCAGATGAATAAAAGATACAACTAATACGGCTAAATATGGAGTACCTTCAAGATAATATTTAAAGGGTGTTGTAGAGACACCTGGTTCCCAAATCTATCTCCATTCCTTTCCAAATCCTAAGATTCTAAAAGACCTTTATTCCTCTAGCTTAAAGCTTTTTGTCCACAGCTTCCTTCATGGGTATTTACATTTTGTTACTTCCATTTTTTTCCTTCTAATATCAATTATATGTCACCATACTCTCCTTTCCATTACTATCCCCAGGTGGTGGTGGTAGGGATAAAAACCCACTGTCTGATAATAATATGCCCCCTGATATTTTATATCAACACCATTTGTCACACGATGGGCACAACACTATCTTTAGCTATTCTCTAGTATCCTTTTGAGGCCTCAGAGAATGTTGAAAACACTTGTATGTTGTCATACCCTATTAGACTGAATTCAATATAACAAACATTAAGTATTTACTTTGTGCCACAGAGTATAAAACAAAATAACATGTCACATCTAAAACTAACTCAAGACCATTTAATGGCTGATCAAAGCAATCCTTTCTGATAGCTATTTGTTGGGGACAAAAATAAAAGTCAATCAAGGAAAACAAGGTTTGTAAAACACCAACACGGTAAAAAATCTAAAGCACTTATGAAATTCTCATTCATCACCCTGTTCCCTTTTAGGCACCATATTTTTCAAAAATATCCAAAATAGTTTTTTAAAGTATTATTGGTTCAAGTCGAAAGGTAGTAAAAAGTTATCTATCCTTTGTTTGGACAAATCATTCCCAATACCAGTTCCAGACTATTTCAAAGAATCAGAATATAATCCCAATACCACAAAATCTGTGCATCCTTTTAAAAGTATTAACATTTCTTTCAAATTACAGGTAAACACAAATCTTTCAAAAATATACTTCTAAATCATCAAAGTTTCAGTTTATTAAACTTGAGTATTTTCCTCCCTTTCCTCCGTTAGTTATTATTGGGCAAACTCTGAGTGATGGTTAGTCAAATTTGCTTTCTCCACTGCATTCCATAACACGAGGTCCCCTTTGCCTAGCCAAAATATGTACTGCTTCTCACTCTTCAATTTTATTTGGAAGATGTAAATCCCACTTAAGTTGAGCATACTTACCCTTGAGCTAGGGAACCATCAATACAAGATGTCTATTAGGCTGCCCAATTTTCACTACTGGGTAAGACTTTTGGTGATTCTCACTATGTACCACTTTATTGTTTCTTTGGCTGTTATCTCCCACCTCTGCAGCACATTTCTGGTGAGAGAACCTTGGATTATAAAACGATTGAGAATAAATGAAAGAAAAATCAAATAACCCAAGGGAAGCCAGCAATAATAAAAACTGAATTGAAAATAGCCAGTCTGCAGTGTTTTGGACACATGCAAAATCTATGTAAACACTTTTTTTTTAACTTCAATGTGGCAATCTGAAAAATCCTATCAACTACTTATAGGACAAATCTAATAACACCTGGTCACATGTTAAGGTATACCAGACAATTGTAAACTTTGGTATAAGCTTCACATGTGAAGAATGAATTCTAGTTACATTTACAGACACTGTTCCTTCTCCAGTGGTGTTTTCTTGCTCTCCTCCTAACCCATCAACTTCCAACAATATTATGTAATATGTTGTTTTGGCCACAGAATTTCCATCCTGCTGTTTTGTTATACAGAAGCCCTTCTAGATTTGGACCAGCAACTGAAAACTAAACTGTTGGTAGAAATAAAGGAGCCATTCTACATACCACTTCAGCTCCTCTTAAGTTTTCAAAGGTTCTATGAAGGTAAAATTTGGTTTTCAACATACCCTAATCTGTTGTGGTGGGAAAATACCTGCCCCCAAACATGAAAAATAATAGGAGTATACAGTGCTTTGGGATAAAGAAGGTATTTTGAAAGGAGGTATAGTATTGTTTAAAGAAACACTTCATAATTCTTAATCATTTTCAAAGATAAAAATGGACCAAGGAAAATTACTAATTAGCACAAACGTGGTTTCCAATGTTAAGGAAAAGCTCCATAAAATACCAACCAGATTCCAATCATACTGGATATGTGAGGAATTACTAGATGTGAGTGTAGAAGACATACTTACCTTAACGATTCTTCTGAGAAAACAATTGCGTTCAATGCTTTAAATAAAAAGCAGACTTCAAGATATGGCTAATGTAGCAAGGTAAGAGCCTCATTTTCAAAAATCACAAGACACCTTTTAGTGGACATATAAATTGAATTGCTCTTCCATTAAAAGAAATAATGCACCATAAAACATGACATCTATGGCGGCTTTTCTATTTTACTTGGACTTATTTGTATTACTATTTTGATTCCTATATGGAACTTGGGAGAGGCAGCATGTGTTAAAAAGACAACTGGCTTCAAAGTCAGGGAATCCTGGGATTGTGTGGTCTATATAAAAATTGCCTGAAAGGCAGGTGTTGATTTTATTAGGAGAAGGAATTTACTCACCAAGAGGTTCCCTAAACTAATGAAATCACAGGTCTGGTCCAAAAATATTACATCATATTGCATGTATATATGCATACATATAACACAGAAATATACAGTAATACTATATATACACATACATACATACACACACATATATGTATACACACACACACACACACACACACACACATATATAACTTAAATGGTAGAAAGGGCAATTTTATTGGGAAATGTTTTAAGATTTTTTTCATTTTAGTAAATGTAAAATGTCGGTTAACTAGTCCCACTGTTAAAGCTAAAAGGAAGCAGAATATGTTGTTTCATTTGCCCCAAATAATTTCCTAAGGGAGGTCCCAGGGAGAATTTTTGTTAAAAGTTTTAATATACCATAATCTGTGTGTATATATTATGAAATATAATTTCTTCAAAATAACTGTGAATGGCATCCTGGTCAGTAGTCAGTTTGCAATCTATAGTTTCTACCATAAAACTAGTAATGGAAATGCTCAATTCCACAGTCAGAACTCCGATCTTAAAAAATATTTAAATAGAGGTCAGTCAAAAGGAAATGAGACAGAAAAAATTTAGCAACTATGTTTAGGAGAACTTTTTCTTACTTTTGTTGATCCGCTAGAGGCCTGCTTATGCAAAAACTGCAAAAAAACAAAAACAAAGAACAAAACAAAAAAAACCACACACTTCCAACAATCCCCACCAAAACCTTGATTAATTCCTAGATAAAAATTATTTTTTCCCCCTTAGTGACATAGGGATGAGGAAAAGAAAGGATACAATGGCAAGGATAAAGCCAATATTAATTTTGTAGGTCAGAGAATTTTTACAATCCAATTGATTTATGAATGTATTCCGATGCTCATTAAATAACATGAACTTCAACTTCCAGAATTTTAAATATCAATTTTTTTTTAAATGCTACTGCCTACATAAAAATTTTCATTACTTACAAATATTTCAGGGAATTGCCTACATGTCTTACATAAGATTAACAGCATTTTTTGCCAATCCGTCTTTCTTTATCAGAAAAGAAAAAAAGATGACCGACTATTCTCTTTCTATACGACTGAAAAATATTATTACCAAGAGCTAATGTCTTTAAAAAAAAAAAAAAGAAAAAAGGATAGTTTAGAAAAGGAAATATTTTCTGGCTATCTTAAAAGTAGTATGTTTAGATAACTCTGAAATACATAAGAAATGTGTCTAAAATTCCACAGCCTACTATTTGGGAAAGTAATCAGAATGTTTAAATAATATTTTCTTCAAAGTAGTTCAAAGTACACAAATAATCATCTAATCTTCACACCTGTACAAAAACTTAGAAATTAAATCAGAACAGAAGACTAATGTATGAAGTTTAAAAAAAAGAACTCAAAATGATCTGTTAAACCTCCAACTTTTACTTTTAGAATTTTTTGAAGCCTATGTCAATGTAACTAATATTTTTACATATTTGACTAAAGTTATACCCAGTATACCTACCAGACCATTACCTGGACCAGGGTAATTGCATAGGAAGATTTTTACTATATTTACATTTTTTTAAATTAAAAAAAAAGTATAGTAAAGAGTCTGAGGACAAATTATTCAACTGTTTATCATACATAAGACTGCATGACTATAATACAAAGGGCGTTTCTTTTTTCATTTAACGTTACAATATACACAGCAAGTCTGGACTAGATCTTACAATCTGAACACAGGTATTTAACCTTTTCCATGCTGTTTATGTTTACAATGCACATTAGTCCTGTAACCAAACTGTGTAGTAAAGCACACAAAACTGGACTGTAACATAACACAGTATGCAGAAGCATTGGATTTTATGGTTTTTTTTATGTAAATATTGGTTTCAAAATTGCTTTAATTTTTGGTGCTTCCTAAGATGTGGCAACCAGCACAGAAAAAAAAAATGACCTGACCCATAAAATATCTTAACTTTATATACCGAGACAGCAGTAACTACTGGATTCTTTTTTAAAATATTGCTATACTCAAGATGACAACCTTTCATTCATTGTAAACTTCTCTGAACTGTTGAGTTCAAAAATTGTCACCCACAGGCTTGATATTTTAATACAAAATAAATACGGATCCTTCGATTTAAAAAAAAAGTTTTATAAAACTGATATTTCCAAGTATCCATTCACATTTACACATCTTGGGCCTCTCTTTTCAAGGTCTTGTATATAAAAACCTGTTTCGTTCAAAAAAAAAATTTGACCATGTCAGCCACGTGGAAACGACTGATAAAAAGTATATGCCGTTCTGTAAGTTATTTTTAACAGGGTTTATTGGCAGAGGTAGATTACTGCTTCTTTTCTAGGCTTTTTTTTTTAATCCTGGATAAATAAATAAACTATCTTCATTCTCCCAGCTCAACCACTCAGAAATATTGGTCAATTTTAAGTGGGAACACAAATTTAGCAACTGCCAGACTGTGTTACATTAAGGCAGCATAACCTCAAACTAGGCACCTGTTAAATACAGCCTGCTAACTTCAGGACATACATGAGCTTTTAGTTTCACTCATGGTAACACTTTGGGAACCTGTTGGTGCAATCAAGGTCTTACTTTCAAGTTTACAAGAATGTTAATCAGGAATACAAGAAACTACTGCTGGTTTCATAGCTTCTAGATCTTGTGTCCCTTTTCCCTTCAGAAGCCTGAAGACATTTATAATGTTAACAGATGTTATAGTCTTGAATTAGATGTCAATCTATTATGTTCAGTACACAGATCGTTATAAATGTATTGGCTATGAATTCAACAACAGTTCCAGTTTTGTTTAAGCAATAGTACAGCCATAATTTTCAACTGACATTTAAAAATGGTCTAGTTACACCTTGTGTCAAAGTGCAGAACTGCTACATTATTGGTTACAGACATCTATGTGCTATAAAAACAGCTTTGGTACAATAAATTATCAAAAAAAGAAAATAAATTTTTGTAAAATTCACAGCATAATTGTGAGGCAAAAAAAGCAGTCACATAAAATTCTGCATTTTTTAAAATGTTCAGGATGAACAGAAGACATCTTTGTGCAGAAGTAATGGTGGAGATACCACGTGCCGAGAAAAAGCAAAAGAAAAAGTAAAAAGCAGGAAGAGACACAGCTGTAGCTATTTCCATCAAACGCAAACCACTACTTCTGTGACCTTCAACCAATAAGGAAGTCAACTTTATGACACACGCAAAGTGACCTGGCAATACCTTACAATTAGTGGGTCACAAAAGTCTATTTTAAAAGAAAGGCCTCTTGAATTACCCATTCTCTGTGTTTTCAGCATTAAGGACTGTCTGCAAAAGCATGTCCAATAGTGATTGCATTTGAAATGGTAGGCTCTTCTAACTTAGAGTCCAAATCCATAAGGCCAAAGGTTATCCCAAAGACCACCAATTAGACCTCCCCAGGACTGGCCAAAACTGACCCGTTGATTGCTTCTCAGTGCACCTTAGTTATGAGGCCAGCCATGTTCCAAATACTAACTGACTCCGGTCTATAAAATGAGACACAGAATCCCATTATAATTGCTGCTTTGATCCTCAGTAGGTTCAGAAAAGGAGAATTCTGATCACCGCCATTTAGCATGCTTAATGTGCCTAAAAAACTCCAATACAACTGTCCCTTTGTACAGCTGAATATATTTTTATGTAATCTGAAGGTCCCTCTTCCTTACAGTACTGCATATCTGTGCCCATGTGTGTTTGGAGGTTTAAAAAACCCAAATAACCCCACCCCCCACCCAAAAAAACCCTCATGGGGCCCTTTTTGTAAATTATATGCAGTGACTTTTTTTATTTTAAAATTAGTTGGCAAATGACTAAGACCAACATCTGAACATTAACTTTTGTAGAATAGAAAGACAAAAACACTATGATTGAGATGTGGCAAGTTAAAATGGGGGAGGCAAAAGATGAGGTAACACCTCTGAGATATCCATTAAGATGGGTTTAGACATGGCTCTTAAAAAAAAAAACACTTCACTGTCCCTTTGCAATCTTTTCAAGTTTAAAAAAATAGTCAGCTTTGCCCTCTTGTAGCGGTTCAGTGTGTTAAACTCCTTCTAATTCAAGCAGCTTTGCACTTGTTTTTGGAAAAAAACACCACTTCTATAAAAACACACAAGAAACAAACAAGTTTCAATTTAGTCACGAGCTAGCCACAGGACTTTGTTGAACACAAACTCCTGTCATAGGAGATTCTTCTCTATCAATTCCTTGCCTCATAGCCAGATGTCCTTCAGTCATGTAATGTGTAGGACCTGTATTGGCAGAAAATTGGTATGCTGGATGTCCAGTTATGCCAGTCTCCTGGCGGGGATTGGAGTAGACTGTTAAATTAACATCCATGGCTCCATTCTGTCCAAAGTCCAAGGTATTAGCAACCACTGGGCGATTCTGGTAGGCTTGATTACCTTGGTTACCAGTAGAGGAGGAAGATGTAGAGGAAGAAGTAGTTGAGGAAGACAGGGATGTCATGGAGTGGTGACTATGGCCAACTTCCATAGAATCTTGGGTAGAGGAGCTGTTTGTTGGAGAATTGTAGACCCTTGGCCTGGTCCGGTTACCCAAGGCTTGTTGTCCATGGTGATGGTGGTGGTGGTGGTGGTGGTGGTGATGATGGGAGCTGTTTCCATGATGATGATGTAATGCATTCTGTTGAGGGGCTACATGGAACGCTGTTTCTTGAACAGGATGAGTTTCAACAGTGACTTGTGTAGGTGCTTCAGTGCCTGACCAACCAAGAGGAGCTGGAAATTGCTGGCGCACCTGTGAAAATAGAGGTCTATATTTTTATCTCTAGTTCAAAAGAAATAATACTAATATTAAGCAAGTTGGGGGGAGGGGAGATGATGAAGGAATTTGGCAGTTTTATCATGCAAATTTTAAGTCTATAAATAGAATAATACATAATTCACAGAGAGACAATCCAACTAACTCCCCCCCAATCAATAAAGAAACTGCCTTTTTAACTAATTTAGTTACAGAAGTCACATATAAAAATGAGGGACTAATCTATTAATCATTTTTTAAAAACTGTTTAGGCAGATTTAAACTGTGAAATATTAGTCCCCAGTGATAACTAAATTAAGTATGAATTACTAAAGGTATACTTAATTTGCCAAATAATAAACTAGAAACTCACCATAAATCTCACTGAACTGTTAAGAGCTAAAAGGAATACTAGAGGTCATTTAATCTACCTTTCAATTTTTAGAAGAAAAAACTATACACAGCAAAGAATGGAAAAGTGACTTTCCAAAGGACACACTTGCAAACGGTAGAGCTTGAATCTAAATCTTCTGCTTCTAGTCTCATATACATTCTCCTAGAATATAAAATATATTGTAATGAAGGCCAAATAATGTGCCTATTATATGCACAAACATTTCAGTAAGGAGAAAGGTATCTTGAGACCAACTCTCAGTTAAAAAAAAAATTGGAAGCCAACAGAAAATGTGTTAAAGATCAGGTCCTGAAAGTCTTCAAACATTACATCAAACAGTGTTCTTCTTTGCAAGTCACAGAGTGTACTGCTTCAACTGTAAACACATCTGATGGCATGGTAAAATTGATGGCATTATAGCTAGGTTTTAATCAATAATGATCTTTCAACAGTAACCTAATTATTATCAATATGGTAAATTTTTTAATTTTTTTTATTCTTTTTTTTTTAAGTGAGGTATTAGGGGTTAAGTGACTTGCCCAGAGTCACACAGCTAGTGAGTGTTATGTGTCTGAAACCAGATTCGAACTCAGGTCCTCCTGACTTCAGGGCTGGTGCTCTATCCATTGCGCCACCTAGCTGCCCCTCAAAATGGTAAATCTTAATAGCTACTGAAGTAATTAGTATATTCCTTCATTCTTTAGCAGTTTTAAGGTATACCTGAGGACTGTGTGTTTCACAGTCCATCGCTTGAACAGCAGCTGTAAAGTGACCACCACTATGCCGATGCTGATGTGTTGGATCTGACCGGGCCCTTCCACTGTTGCTTGTCCCTGAAGATCCACCTTAAAAGAACCAAAACAGAATAAATGTTTGCTTGTGCAGAAGTAAAATTCTAAAACTTACCCTAAATCTGAAAACAAGTCATCTGACACAACACGGGATGGTCTAGCTAAAACTACACATTTTCATCAGCCAACCAACAAGTAATTTTGTCCAAAATTTTAAAATGTGAAGTTAGTAATATTAACTAGTCAGTAGTAATATTAAAAGGTACTAAAAGTTCTGAGACTATAACCAAGCATATACCTGAGCTTGAAGATGTACTAGAGGTGGTTCCTGAAGACTGTGACTGCTCCATAGCAGGACTTGTGGAGACACTGTTACTTGTATTTGTACCTTCATCTGCTGTTTTCTTAAAAAAGCTATGCTGCAGGGCATAATATGGTTGAATTCTAGTCTTAGGGTCATAATCAAGCATCCTTAAGATGAGGTCTTTGAACTTCAAGTAGTCCGCTACAGTATGTCCAGATTCCCCAGCACGACGTCCCCCAGGTCCTCCTGTTTCTACTCCAAGAATATTATGAAGTTTTCGGGTTCCTGGTGGTTTGTACTCCTATGGGGAAAAAAAAAATTCCTCAAATTTGAAAAAAAAACCTAGTCAAATATTAAATCGATATAAAACGTAATATTCGAGTTTTTATTAAAAATATAACAATATGCTGAAACACTTTATTTATTATCTTATATATTATTATGACATATATATGTATAGACACACATATTTATATATAAAATTATAACTAAGTAACAGTTTACATTATATGTTATATATTATAAAATTATAACTAAATAACAGTTTAATAGAATTTTGATTGTGGCACACTGTCACCACCTGATGGCATCATACTCAAAGCACAAAAGTAATAACTGCCCTAGCCTCAAAAAGATCAACTGGCCTTGTGACTTACTAATTTTGCAGATGAGGAAATTAAACATTTAAAATACTTTTTATTTTAAAATATCTGCTCATTTAATAATGATTTTACCTTAAACAGAAATTATTTACAGTCTAACTTCATACAATAATGCTATGAATAACAGTTCCATTTCTAGAAGTGTAAAATTCAATTAACTTCAATAAGCATTTATTAAGACCCTGCCACCTGCCTGGAATTGTATTAATCACTGGAGATATAAATAAAAAATGAAAAAGATTCTGCCTTCAAGAAGCTTATATTCTACTGGGGTAGGAAGGGAGAAAGGGATATATACATGGACAAGTAAATATAGAATATATATAATGCAAATACACAGCAATTTGGTGGAACAGGGATATTGAAACAGAGAAAATCAGAAAGGGCCTCTTGAAGAAGATGGTAGACTGAGCTGAATTTAGAATGGAGCTTGAGATTCAAGGCACAGAACAACCTGTGCAAAAGCAAGGAGTCAGTCAGTCAATATGCATTTAGACTAAGTGGCCTGCTATGTGCCAGTCACTATGCTAAGTACAGGAGACCAAAAAAAAAAGAAAAAAGAGGCAAAAAACAGTCCCCATTCTTAAGGAGCTCAGAGTCTAATAGGTTTGGGAGGTGAGAGACAGAATGCTGTAAAGAACAGCAGTTTGACTGGAACATATAATACATGAATAAGATAAGAGATAAGATTAAGCCAGACTATATAAAATGTTAAATGTCCAACAGAGAATTATGTATTTTATCTAGCGGAAATAAAGGACCACTGAAGCTTTTTGAGCAAGGGAATAGGATGATCACAGCCTTGGGCTTTAGACACATCACAGGATCATAGATATGGAATTGTGAATTCAGAGGTATTTTAATCCAACCTTCTCACTTTGCAGATGAAGCAAATGAGGCTGAGGAAGATTAAATGATTAATCCAAGGTCACACTGTAATGTATCAAGTAGTAAGATTTTAATCCAGGTTCTCTAATGCCAAAGTTAGTGCTCTTTCCTCTGTACAATTTGGCTGTTGCATGGATAACAAAATGGAAAGGGGAGACACTGGAGGTCAGAGGTGATAAGGGTCTAAAATAAGTTCATTAAGTTTTATATGCAAATTAAGTTTCAGATTCATCAAAGAAGAAAGGACTTTCTATTCTCATAAAGTGAAAGAGATGAAAGAAGGAGGTAGAGCTGATAGAAGGGATAATCCTAATTATAACTATGGAAAAAAGACTAGCAGATAAGAAAATGCTAGAGGAATAAAACAAAACAAAACTCAACTGAAGAAAAGAGTTCCTGACACAGTGAATGCAAAGAGGGGGTAAAATGTGAGAGATATAGCAGAGGTAGAATCAATGAGATTTAGCAATTGGCTTTATATCAGGGAAGAGTAAGAGTCAAGGATGTTTCTTCTGGGTAAATGGAGGATAGTGGCACATTTGACAAAAAGTGGTAAATTAGGGAAAGAGTAGGGTTGAGCATGGGGAAGGGGGACAGCGCGCGTGCCAGGGGAGAGGGATATGAATTCCACTTTGGACATGGTGAATTTGGGATATCTACAGACAATGGAACTGGAGAGGTCCAGCAGGCAGGTGGTGATTTGGAATCAGAATTCAGGAGAGAGATGAGGGTATGTTGAAGCAGATTTGGGAATCAACTGTGTAGCAATCATAGAACACACAAGAGTACATGAGATCACAAAGAAAAAGGGTAAAAAAAGGGTTTAGGACAGGACCCTGGGGTAAACCCAAACATAAAGGATAAAACATGGATGATCATCCAGCACAGAGGGTTGAGTAGGAATAGTCTGACAAGTACAAAGAGAACAAGAGAGATCAGTCTTGAAAACCCAGGAAATATCTATTAGGAAGAAGTGGTAAAAAATGCTGAAAGCTGCAGATGTCAAGAAGAGTATAATGTACTTAGAAAAGGCCTCTGCATTTAGCAATTAAAGAGATCACTGCTACCTAAGAGGAAGGAAAACGATTATTCTCACACAAAACAATGAAGGAAAAATGTTAAGAGTAAATGAATTATATTCAAAGAAACACAATGACTGTCCATCAGACAGTTTGCCCCTTATTGATGAACTTGAACCCTGGATATTTTTGGTGTAGCTTAAAAAAAAAAAACTAACCATTTTGCTTCCGTTTCAAGGGTTACAGTACTTTAGACTTTCTAAATTACTAAAATGGCCAGGGGCTATTGGAACCTTGTTCCAAAATAAGTTCATTAAGTTTTATATGCAAATTAAGTTTCAGATTCATCAAAGAAGAAAGGACTTTCTATTCTCATAAAGTGAAAGAGATGAAAGAAGGAGGTAGAGTTGATAGAAGGGATAATCCTAATTATAACTATGGAAAAGAGACTAATGGATAAGAAAATGCTAGAGGAATAAAACAAAACTCAACTGAAGAATAGAGTTCCTGACACAGGAACCAGATTTTTAAAATCCACAAAAGGAAAGTATTTTATATCTGGAAGATAAGACATCACAGACTTTGGTAACTGAAGCTCAAAGTGCTGAAAAACTACGAATCTATTAAGAAAAAAGTATAAATATGTATTTATTTCACACAGCCTTTAGTAAAACTGTACCTCTTGCCTACCATTACCTAGTGAAATTATACCTGTAATACAAGGGGTAATAAGTAACTAAGGAGGCAGAAAGAAACCCTAAATGTTTAAAGTTCCCTGTTCCTTCTTCCCCAAAAGTCATAAGTGACAGCTTTGTGACATCCTTTTATATATCATATCCAAAAGAACCAAGAAAGATTAGAAACAAGCCATTAAAGTACACATAGGAAGCAGATAAATCAAGGAAAACTATGAATATCTCATTTTATTTCAACATTAAGTGAAAGGCACTGGGCTAGAAACTGAAGATAAAAAGATGAAAGCTAATGATCTCAATTGCCAATGGGCTTACAATTTGTTGGAAGAGTGGACAGAAAACACCTATACACATAAGACAAGTATTATACTAGGCAGAATACGGTAAGATCAAAGAAAAGATTTAGATAAAGTACAAAAAGAACTGAAGCAGAAGAATTTCACTATTAGTTGGTATATTAGGGAAGGCTTCATGTACCTGAACTGAGCCTTAAAGGAAACATGTTTCAACAGAACAAAATAGAGAGGGAATGTGTTACAAATATGGGTCTGATAAAATATATTAAAGTCAAGATAATTATAATCATCCAATTTGGCTAGAAGTTAGAATACAAGGAACAGTATAAGATAAGGCTGGAAAAGTTGGCTAGAGCCAGACTGTACAGATTTAGTCACCAGACAAAGGAATTTGTCCTCTGGCCTACAAGGAAAAGGGAGCCATACAGTCATTGAATACAAAGTGATCTAGTCAAAGTAATACACCAGGGAGAATATTTTAGCGACTGTGCAAAGGAAAAGTAAGAGCCAGGAAACAAAAAGATGAGTTTAGAGGCTACTACAAAAAGCTAGAAGATAGATATGAAGACTTGAATAATTAACTATCCTATAGATTGCTAAGGTATAATATTTCTTTACCAAGAGCACAACTCTAAAATTTATATATAAAAGCTTCTTAAAAAAGCAAATTTTCAAAAATTTAATTAAAAATTTTTTAGATTTGTTATTTAAAGCTACTGGTCATCAAAGGTAGAATATAACCAATTCAAAGAGCCTACAGAATACTGAATGTCTTTAATATTTCTACAACAATGAAAAAACTGGAGAAAAGCATTTTTTTAAAATGACCACTTTACTCAATATAACAATAACCATAAATCATGTTTAGATTATATTGACAAAACAATTCTAATTGTTTTTAATAATATGTATGCATAACAATCAATGGATCAATAGAAAAACCAATCCTTATAAATGGTGAAACACTAAAAAGTAACATGAATGAAAACAACATTTTGAAGGACATGCAAGTAAGAACTGATCTGTCATATAGTCTTTTACCCTTTTTCCATCTTTGGTCTTCTTTAAGTTCCAAGTGCCATCCGGCAACTTCTCAAAGAACTTTCTTGCTTTGGGTGCTTGGTCAAGAATATGTGCAGGTGCTATTCCCAGAACTTCCACTATTTTATTCATCTGATCCACCTGTGTAAAACAACAATAATCAAGTTAAAAACATACTTTCTACTGTATATTAAATCATCATTTCTGTTCATTACTACTCCTAAAAGAGTTTAATGAAAACTTTTTCAATCAATAAAGATCTTGAAGTACAGGTAACAATTTATCAGCCATCTTGCAGAGATTCACGCTTAGATTGGATTTACACTATAAGACTGAGTAATTCTTGACTTTTTAAGTACTATTTCCACAGTGCTTTACATAGATAAACTACTTACAAAGAAAATTTATTTACATAAACAACTGTCTAGAGTGGGATTATATAATGTAGGGGCTGGAGAGAAGGCTTTGGAGTTCTGACCTGGGTCAAAACCATATTCCAAGCCTTTCTCTGATACTGTATTTATGAAAGGGAAGAGGAAGAAGTACCACCCACAAAGTGGCTTTAAAAACAGACTCAAGAAGAAAAAAAGACATGTTTTATCACTAGGTAGAACAGGTCAAAGGGGATACAAGAAATGAAAATAATGTGAAAAGAAAAAGATATAAACAAAAATAAAAAGCTATTTCCTAAATGATGAGTTGCACCTGTCAGGAGACCAGCATTTGAAAGTAGTATTCTAACTAAGTAGCAATGTTTTTTCTCAAGTGATTAAAACTCTAAAGTCATTAGTTTCCCCCATCTGTAAAATAAGAATATTGGCTTAGAGATTCCTTTCCTCTTTATGAGGTCAGGTTAACTTCAAATAATTCATATTGTTATGTCATTATTCCTGTTAGTTCTAAATATTTCAATTCTGCAAAGGATCCATGATTTTATCAATGTGAGTATTCTTTCCACCAGTACAAACTGCAGCCCAGAGACACAATTTCGCCCTATTATTTATTATTATTCTATTACATATTCTCCCAAGAAGGTTATTAGATATTTTAACAATTCATGGAAACTAGTGTATCACTGGGGTTTACTCATGTATGGCATATAGCAGATACTTAATATTACTGATTGATACCTTAGCACTCAGTATTGTTATCTGATAGGCCCACATCTCCTTTTCTGACCAAATGTTTTTGCAATATTATTTTTTATTTAAGGCTTGTGAAAAAGGCATTGTAATATGTTGTAGTCTACTTATCCTTGCCATGAGGCTTTTTGATCAGTATTTGGGCCAACTGTAATTTTTTATTTTTCAGAAAATATGATATTATCATGATTCACAGCCAATTAATGTGGTCAGGAGAACATCAGTAATATTAAGTAGAATCAACAGTAGTAGTAGTAACAACACATAGTTCCAATTCTAACTGTACTGTCAAAAAGATCAAAGTGAGATAATGATACTAATGGTAATAATAATTATGATAATAATAATTATAACAAGCACCAAGAATACATCCCACAGAGGATGAATTTTCATCCTAATACTTTTATTCAATTTTTAAAATAGCTGTTTTACCCATCTGTACAACAGTGTATGGGATAAACACTAAATATAAATAATGTCAGGATAGTGACTTGTCTCAGGATCATTCTTATCTGAACCACACTGAAAAACATAGAAATTGAGATTGATGATGATGATGATGATGATGATGATGATGATGATAATGATGATAATGATAATGATGAAGTACCAAGATGATGATGGTTTGTGGCAAAAGGAGTAGTTTGGGATTTTTGAAAATGCCACACAACTACCAAAATACAATCTAATACAACCCTTTTCTCCAATTTAACTACAGACCTAGCTTACTGCCTATTTGTATTATCTGTTTCAAACAGAAGTTCTGAATGCCCAACCACCAACTGCATATCACAGTCTGGACAATAAGCATATTTCTTGTATTTAGTTCTTTTGAGGAATGTTAGTTGAGTTTTTTGAGTGGTCACAGACATCAGCGAAAAGGTTCTGTAGTATTCTGAGCCTTAACGTAGGTAGAATTAGATTATCCACAAAAACGAGTACTAGCAGACATCATATGCGGGAACTCTCTCTTCTATTTGTACTGTGTAGAAGTGCTCCACAGTGGTAAATACGCATATACGTATGTGACTAATGTTGTTATAACCAGAGAATTAGTGAAAAAGTTACGTCTGTGGTTAAATTATATCAAATATATTTTCTTAACATTTTCATGGGGGCAACTTGTCCCTCAAGGCTTCTTTTTTTGTTTATACTTTTTCACTTAGTGATTGCATCATCACTTATGGATTTAATTATCATCTCTATGCTGATTTTCAAATCTACTTAATCCAGTCCTAACCTACTCTGCTGACCTACAGTCTTATATATCCAACTACCTATAAAGACATATCAAACTAGATAACCCGTAGATATCAAATTCAACATGTCCAGAACTGAACTCATCTTTCCTCAAACCCTTTCTCCCTTCCAAACTTCCCTGTTACTATTGTGAAGGTCATCATCCAGTGCTCCAGGCTTACAACCTAGTTGTCTTCTTCAAAGCCTCACTACAACATCCTTCTCATATTCAATCTGCTGCCAAATAGCTTTTATCTTCATAATATCTCTCAAATATAACCTCACTCCCTCCCCTTTTCTCAGATACTGTTCCACCCTGGGACGGTTCCTTATCTCCTCACTCCTGTCCTGCTGTTTGGTCTCCCTGTCACAAGTCTCTTCCCTGCTCCAGTTCATCACCCACTGATGTGGAAATTATTTTCCTAAAGCACAGGTCTAATCATGTCACCTGCCTACTCAACAAACTTCAGTGGCTCCCTAACAACTTCCAGCATCAAATATAAGAATCCATTTATCATTCAAATAGGGCTTCAAACCAGCCCCTACCCTACTCTTTCTAGTCTTCTTACACCTTACACTCCCACCCTCACACCCAAATCTGTGATCCAGTGCCACAGGCTTGCCTCCTTGATATTCCTTAAACAAGACATTCAATCTCCTGATTCTAGGAATTTCCACTTGCTGTCCTTCATGCATGTAATGCTCTCCATTCTCATCCCTGCTTTCTGATTTAGATGGAAGTCCCAGCTACAATGCTGCATCTACAAGAAATATTTCCAAATCTACTTAATTCTAGTGGTTTCCTTGTGTTTATTATTTCCTATTTATTCTGTTTATATTTTGTTTGTACAAAGTTGCTTGCATTTTGCCTCCCCCTACTGGACCATGTAGGCCATACCAAGGTCAGGGACTGTTTTTTGGTGCTTAATAAATGCTGTTGATGGTTTAGAGAATCTCATCAAATTCTTTACAAGATTTCTCTATTAAACTCTTCATCATCTATAGGCCCATTAAATACAATTATTTTCATGATGATATTTTGTGTATATGTATCATGAATACTGAAAAAGCAAAATGACGCAGTGTCCAATGAAATGATTCTTGTTGCCCATTCTATCAATTCTTGTATTTGGGCAAGGCTCCAGAACATACCGTAAAGCACTTACCCATTCTTAAATGTTACCCAAAAGTCACAACTTCATCTCATTATCTTCACTCAAGTTCTCTGTAATGATGCCTAATATCTCTAAAATTCATAAAACAATACTTCTCAAACATTTCAAGCCAAATTGATTGCTTCAGTCATTATTTATTTTACCAACTAATTTAAATATACATATTCACATTTAACAATTCTGAACTCACTGTTATGTGGTAAGATAAAACATAAAATTAAACAAAGGAGAACATAAACGGATCTATTTAAACAATTATGTTATTTAAACAACATGGCAAGTCATGAAATCCCTTCTTAAACAATTTAGTATATATTTCTCTGAGGGGCAAAAAAAAGTCCTAATGATAATAGGAAAAAAAATCAATTACACACCTCATTGGCTCCACTGAAAAGAGGTTCTCCAGTGTGCATTTCAACTAAAATACACCCAAGGGACCACATGTCAATAGCAAGATCATAAGGCATTCCCAGTAGTACCTCTGGAGAGCGATAAAAGCGACTCTGGATATACTGGTATATCTGAAATATAATTTTAAAAAAGTTTCAAAGAATTTTTAGCTTCTTGACCTGTATCAATTCTAAGTAATAAATAAACTACTAGAAGCATTGGCTAATGTTAAAGTGAAGTATAACTGGCAAATTTCTCTAATAAGTTATATTTATATTTGTTTTTAAAAATGATTTATTAAAAATATTTTTTGATATTTTAAATTTTTTAAATATCTTATCTGTATATAAACTACATTTCTCAACATAGCCTTTCCTTCCTAGAAAATCATTTCATAACAAAAAGAAATTTTTTAAAGAGAAAGTACAGTTCAGAAAACAAACCCACAGTTCCCTACACCTGCAATGAAGGAAGGTATTGACGGATAATTGTTAAAAACATAATACATGATTACAAGAGTTAGCACAGCACAGGCATTAGAAATAAAAGTATTTTTTATTTATTCATATAATATTTGTTAATCAAAGCAAAACATTTTAAAATAAACTATTAGCCTTGCAAAGAAGACCCTAGTACTTATGAATTGAATTACTAGCTATGGGAATTGCTTGGTTAACCTGATACACAATAATTATTTAATGTTTTAGGATACAGTGTCAAATGGATGGCTATAAAATGTGATTGAAATTTAATGAATCCTGTTCTGAATTAGCTTTACAAAGGTTTGATAAGAGCTTTTATTATTTCTATATTTGCCCTGATGTCCTTTTATAACCCTATCTCTACCTCTATTTATAACCTGATATTTAAAGTTGAATGTTTAAGAAATTTTTTTAAATTCACATGTAGTTCTTTTTACCAAAAGTGCTTTATTGGGGGGGGGGGAAGAGAACACAACAGTTATTTATTTCCTCTATATATCAGTAATGCTTAACATACGCAAGACCTATAAGCACACATTTACAGAAAGACTTAAAACAGGATTTAGTAATTTATAACAGCCGTTAGACTCTTCCTTTTTTTTAACATTTTACTTTTTTTTTACCTTTACTTTTCACCAAAAGTGCTTTAAAAACAACTCTGAACAGTTCTTTAACCTTTGTTTACCTTATATTATAAGATATAGGAAGCTAAATGTTATGGCTAAAGTTCACTTTATACAGTAGAGCAAAAACTTAAGTTTCACCAAGTAAGGCCCCAAATTAAAATGCATCCTTTTCAGTTAATCATACCCTGACCCTTTTAAAAAAAAAAGAAAGAAAGAAAAAGTCAAACTCTTTCCTAAAAATAAAACATCCTAAGTACCTTATCCTTCATTCAGCTTCCAAAAGTGGTGTGAATTATTATAGAGCTACAACCTAAAGCAACTCCAGACTCCATTTTTAGGTCTTCATTCATCATTAGATGGAATATGTATCACAGCAAAGTATGTAACTCCCTGTTTCTCTTTTACTGCTAGAAAAGCTACAGAGAACCAGAATCATTTTAGCATCAGAATCTCAAACAATTCCTTTAATTAAACATTAAGAATAATAGGCCTTTATGAAGCAGTTGTTTTTCTTTACATAGCTGCTTTCATGTCAGGTAATGACTGAGAGAGACAGAGAGAGACAGAGACAGAGAGAATATGCATGAATGCAGTGGGGCAATATTAAGCTATCTTGTACATACTTTTATACCTATGCTGAAAATACGTATATGTGAACTAGACTCCTCCATTACAATATAAGCTTTTTATGAGGAGGTACTGTTTCCTTCTTTGTACTTGTACCCCCAGCTCCACATAGCCAGTGCTTAATAAATACTTGGGATTGTGAGAAAGGAAATGGAATTACCTATCAGAGAAAATGGGTTTAGATCCTTGCTCTTCATAAAAGTTCCCTGGAATTCATAGTCCCTCAAAGTAAAATGACATCTAAATTGATATTACTACCTCACTTTAAGCTGGTTTCACATATAAGAACTATTAGTGAATCTCTATGATATGGATTAATTTTTTTAGACATAAATGTTTCCTTCCTTCTTGTTTACTACTTTCTCCAATCACATTTTTCTTCCTCTGGCAATCTTCTTGTCTTCTGCTCTGCAACTGCACCTCCCAGACATCTTGGTTCCCTTTTGCTCTGGGACTCTTGACCTGAGGCCTCTGCTATACAAATTAGTGAGTGTCTCATGGCACAATATATTGAGATGGCCTCAGGCATGCTTTATATACCATTTTTATACCATCTCCCTCCATTCAATTTCCAGGCATTTGGACGTTACTCTCTGCCCTGATGGCCCCTTCCCACCACTCTTTCTGCCTCTACAATCATAATCATATCAATAGAGCTATTGCTATTGGAAAGAGCATGTCAATCACCTCCCTTATGGTTCTACTTCCCATCTTATCTCTTCCCAAATCAAAATACTATAGGTGCTATCTCTCCCTTCAGAATCTAAGTTCCTGAAGGAAGTGATCGTCTCATTTTTGTATTTGTATACCAAGTGCTTTGTACAGTGTGCGGCACAAAGAAAGTGCTTGATACATGCATTTTCATTCATTCCAAAAAAATAGCAACCTTTGTGCCTCTAGGCTTTGAAAACCTACTCCAAGGCACTTTCCTGTAGGGTGGCAATCAAATGACAGTAAAGACTGGTATAAATCTCCATAGGGAGAGGGGCTTCATCTATGAACCAGGCTGTTGCTATGTTGCTCATAAGAATAGAGCCTTGCCATTATTTCTGTCTCTATTGGATCTATTCTTTTCTGCTCTTAGATAAAGGAGTTTGGAACTAGGATATGATGCTGGGAGATTCAAAAGGTTAACAAGAGGGGCAGCTAGGTGGTGCAGTGGATAGAGCACCAGCCCTGTAATCAGGAGGATCTGAGTTCAAATCTTGTCTCAGACCAGACACTTGACACTTACTAGCTGTGTGACCCTGGGCAAGTCACTTAACCCCAATTGCCTTGCCAAAACAAAAAGAAAAGAAATCAAAAGGTTAACAGAATGAGTTTGAGGTCATGGAGCAAGAGTTCAGGATAGAAATGAATGAAAACCAGCCAAGCCATACACTATTCTTGTTGTTGGTTTTTTTTGTTTTTTTTTGCCATAGAATATTCTTGCAGCAAAGATGCCAGGTTACAAAACAAGAGAGAGACTATCACCTATACCACAGTCAGAAGTGAACTTGATAGGGCAAATGCTTTATGAACTGGTATAAGTTTGAGCCCACTTTCTCCAGGGAACAAACAGATATAGGGGAGAGTTTGTCCTTAGGTGGTAGCAGAGGAAATATTCTTACTTCTGTTCTTACTGTAACTTTTCAGTAAATATCCCTTTGTAAAATCTACTTGACATTAATGAGTTAAATGATATTGGAGTATTAATCACTGATAATTCAAATTGGGGAAAATAAATTGGAATTTTGGCTCCAGGTGATGGCATTAAAAACTCATCTCTGCAATACATTTTTTGATTTGGGAAGAGACGGTTCCTCATCCTGTCTCTTCTATCCTGTATATGGCTTGTTTGTATTTATTTGTTTGCTTGTTATATCTTCTTTACTAAAATGTGAGCTTCTTGAAGGCTGGAATGTCTTTTGATTCTTTCTGAATCCCCCCCAAGCTCTTAGCACCATGCCTGGCACAAAAGAAGTACTTAACAAATGTATAATGCATGAGTGCCTATGGGGGGGGGGGGGTTAATTACAACAGAGTCATGGGCCATCCTCTCAAAGTCAGCAAAGGAACCCCAAACAGTAATATGGCCACCAAACAGTAACTCCCTTATGCCTACAGAATTCTGCTTATCTCCCCTCCCAGGATTCCTAAGTGCCACTTGCAGATGGAGACAGAGTGCAACTTTTTTTTTTGGGGGGGGGCACAGGGAGGCTGGGGGAGGAGGTATTAGGCAATGGAGTTAAGTAACTTAAGTGCCCAGGGTCACACAGTCAGCAAGTGTCAAGTGTCTGAGGCAGGATTTGAACTTGAGTACTCCTGACTCCAAGGCCAGTGCTCTATCCACTGCGCCACCTAGCTGCCCCCTAGAGCACCACTTCTGCTTAGTATTTTGGCATTACAACACCCTTTAGCCAGGATGAGATGATTTAATAAGTGGATCTTTTTAATATGATTTAATTCAATTTCACATCACCCTTTGACTTAGTTTCTATAGCAGTTCTATTTCTGTAACATCTTATAAATTTATTTTACTTTTTCAAAATTCCCTCTTAGTGTTTTTATGATTATGTAGGATGCCTCATGTCACAGTTACTGATCTTAAGGAACCTCCTAGGCACTAAGGAATCCCTAAGAATACAATGAAGGGCCTATTTAGAAAACATGGTCATAGTATGGCTTTGTTCTGACTTTTTTGCCCTTCCTCTAGGAAATACATGTGAAAAAATGGTATTTGGTTTTTGTTTTTATGAGGGAGTACAAAGAGTAGATTCTTCTCAATCCCAATTTATTACTGCTTGAGTGTATGAGCAAATTTCAAACAATTATAGTGTTTATATGAGTAGAAAGGACTGCTAATAAGTCTTTTCAATCAAACTGAGAACATTTATTAATAACGTCATCTTTTAACTTCAGAAAGGGATTTTTTGCAAAATTAAGGGTCTGAAAATACTCAAGTACAAATGAAGTATAGTGCCTTTTATTATTTCTAAAATGGTTTTCATTTAAAGACTATTGACTTTTATAAGATTAAATCATGATATACTTTTAAAAAGACCTAATTTTTTCAAAGTAATCAAACTTTTAATCCATATGTAAAGATCTTGTGTTCCTAAGGAAAAAAATTAATTACCTGAGGTTCAAGTCCTATTAAAACTATTTATTTACTTACTATTTTTGAAAAGTCGAACAATACATACCCTCTGTCCCAGCTGACAAGAACTTCCAAAGTCAACAATCTTGATAGCGCTGCGTTTAGGGTTACAGAGAAGAATATTCTCAGGTTTGAGGTCACAGTGAATGATACTAAGTTCTGGAGTTGCAAGGAAAAGCAGTGCAGTACACATCTGTTGTGCAAATTTTCGTGTCAGGTTCAAAGAGACACCTCGAAAATTTGTGTTCCTTAACAAGTCATAAAGATTATAAGACAACATTTCAAAAACTAAGCAGAGATGGTTTCGGAACATAAAGTGGCGTTTCAAATGCACTGAAAGAAAAGAGAATTTCACATGAGACATCCATACATTACCAAGTAATTAAATTATTACAGTTTTTTTTTCCCAATATAAAACTTGAAATGATCAGATATAAGAATCAATATTAGGGTACTAAGATACTTCCTTGAATAACTTGGGAATTTCTAACCATTTTCTAATTTCTAACCATTTTCTACTTCTACTAAGTTAAACATCTGTAATATTAATTGCCCAACATGTGATAACTTACAAATGTTTCTTGTAGGGGAAAAAAAATCACTAAAGTGACATTTCTAGAAATTTCATTAGAAAGAAGTACTCTTAAAATGTCCTCTGGAAGAAAGACTGATAGTTTTGTAACTGAATATTAAGTAAAATACATTTCAACTTCTTGATAACATAGCACATTATCCAACCTTCAATTACCTGGATCTCTATATTTAACCCCATCATTTTTTTGTACATTTACATAGTGAAATTCTGCAATTCTATTTCTATATGGAAATACATTTTATACAATCTTATAGGTTAAAAGAAATATTCTGCAATTTTGGCAAAGTATTTGTTTCAAGCATCAATTCAAACAGGAAAAAGCAAATGAATATGAATTATAAGGAAATATTGTTAATTAAAAATTATAAGGAAAAGCAGGAATTATAAGGAACATCCTCTGTGTTAGTGCATATATATGAGACAAGAATATTTACTAATTTACTAGTGGGGTCCAGAAAACAGTGGGCTAGATTGCATTTGGGAAATTATATAATGTTATACTAGGGCAGTTGGTGACAAAGTGGATAGAGTACCCGATTTGGAGTCAGGAAAATAAAATCTAAGTCAAAAACTGGCCTCAGATACTTGCTAGCTATGTGACCTTGGGCAAGTCACATAAATCTGTTTGCCTCACAGTTCATTCATCTGTAAAATTAGCCAGAAAAAGGAAACGGCAAACCATTCCAGTAACTTTGCCAAGAAAACCCTAAATGGGCTCATGAAGAGTTTGATATAATTAAATAACAACAATAGATAATGTTGTAATATTCCAAACATCAACATGACATAAAAGTTGTTTAAAAACTAATTAAAAATAAAAAATAATCTCTCAAGAATATGTGGTCATAATTCATGAAATAAGTCTCTAAAGAATCTAAAAATAGTAAATGACCCAAAGGTGTCATAACAAAGGATTTAAGTAGGCTAAAGCTTATTACTTATTATGAATAATATACAAGAAAAGGCACTAAATGACATCCTCAGGAGAGCAGTAGAGTTGGCAGAACAGCAGGAAGAACTATAGCCAAATTCTCCTTTTTAACTATGCCAAAGACTCTGAAAACATGCCACACTGATTCCTGACTAGGAAGTCCAAGAAAAGAAAATCAGAGCGCAACATTTTTATAGCCCAGGTCAGCCTAGTGAGGCAATAAGGTCTAAGGACATTAGGAATAGTCATGTAGTCCCCAGAATAGGGACTGAATGGGAGCCTGTCTGTAGCTGTGCACCAGAGGGCTGACAGTAAGGAAGCAGGAATAAGTGAGTCCTCACTACCCAGCGCTGGGTCATAGAAACAACACAAATTGAGGGGAAGACCTATGCCTCAGCATGGTAGTCAAAGGCAAAGAGTGGTCACAGGCCCTCGTTTTGGATTCTGATTCTGGGATCAAAGCTTTCTGGATCATTGAAAGTGGTTAAATAGAGTAGTGGTCTACTAGAACCCCAAGCAGGGGCAAGTTGTATTGCTCAGATTAAAACTAAGTCAAATTAACTTCCACAGCTCAGACCCAGAGAGAGCACTCACACTAAGACCTACATCAAATTACTTCAACCACACTGGTCCTCAGCCTGAGCTAAGCTGCCCTGGGATAACAAAATACTCAGTAATCTAAAAGAAAGCAGCAGAAAGACCTGAAAGGACATAAGCTTGGCTTAGCCATCCCCTCTTAAGTATGCAAAGCATGGCCCTAACAAAATGCACAATCAGGAAATAGGCTGTAAGAATCAAAAAAAGAATCTTATCTAAATAAACTTTAGAGTTATTGTAATGAGAGCTCTGGAAAAAAGAACTGGAAAGAGAATTAATAACTTGCCACAAGAGGCACAAAACCTTATTCAAATGACATTTTTATTAAAAATTATAATAGGCCAAATGGAAGTTAATAACTCCATGAGATAACAAGAAGTATTTAAATAAAATTAAAAGACTGAAAAAAAAAAAAAGAAAACGTAAGGTATTCCACAGCCAATACAACTGACCTGGAAACCAGACTGAAAAAAGGTATTTTAAGAATCACTGAAATATCTAAAAGCCAAGACAAACGGGGGGGACGGGGGAGACAGAAATCTGGCCAGATCACTTAGAAATAGAGCGCAAAATGAAAGTATAAAGAATCCACTGGCCACCGCTTGAAAGAAACTATACGATATAACTCCTCAGGGACATTACAGTCATAATTCAGAGTATAGGTCAAACAAAAATTACTACAACAGCCAGAAAGAATTCAACTACTAAGGAACCAGACCGAAGATCATACAAGATTTAGTAGCCATTACATAAAAAGAACAGGGAACCTAGAATGTTGTAATATAGAAGACAAAAGATATAGGTCAACAGCCAAGAATAACTAGACAGCCAAGTATAATCCTAAAGAGGAAAAAATGGACCTCAAAAACACAAAGGACTTCCATTCATTACTAATAAAAAGAGCAGAGCTGATATCCACTGAGAACTCCAATGTCATCAGGTTAATCACAGAAGGAATATAATAAGATAGAAGAACTAGACAGTTTTTTTAATGTTTTGAAGACCTTAAAAGATAAAAAGAGAGGGGAAAAATATGCTTGGGTGGAGGGGAATGGCAGGATGGAAGGAAGATCAGAAAAATGATATAAATAGGATGCACCAGTAGTAAAACAAATAAGGAGAAAGTGGTGGGGGGTAGCAGGAGACACTTGAACCTCACTATCATTTCATCTGGTTCAAGGAAGGAAAAATACATATTAGTACGCTGCATATGCAAAACAAATTCTAATTATACAAAAGGGGGTTTGAAAAGGAAGGATAAGAACATATCGATGGGATCTGAGCAAGGGAAAGAGAAAAAGGGTAGGAGAACAGAAGTAGACTGCATTTAACTTATAGTACTGATGTTGAACGTACTCTTCTTTCAATACATTCATCTTCATAAAAAAGAGAGGTAGAAGCAAAAAGCCTAAAAAGTATAAAAGAACATGATAGAAGGAAATATACAATAAGTACAACTACAAACACAAATAGGATGAACTCAATCAGAAAATGGAAAAAGGATAGGACAGATCAAAAACCGGAATCCAATTGCAAGAAAACACAATTGAAAACATAAAGATTCAGAGTTCAAAATAAAGGGATAGAATAAAATCTATTAAGCTGTAGTTGAAATTAAAAGGGCAGGGGCACAATCACGATCTCAGGGCAAAAGCAAAAATATTTTTTACTAAAAAAGAAACAGAGAAATTATATTTTGCATAAACCATGAATTAATATCAATACTAAGCATACATGTATGACATAGCATCTGAATATTAAAAGTTAAATGAATTATAGAATCAATGAATAAAACTATAACAATGTACTATTTCTTCAGTCCTAGATAAAGCTTACCAAAAATTAAGAAATACCTGAAAAGAATTTTTGAAACATTAGATATAATAGATCCCTGTAGATTACTAGATAGAAATAAAAAGGAAAATTCACATTTGTTAAATATGTATGGCACTTTTATAAAAATTAACCGTGTATTAGGGCACAATATCCCTACAAAGAAATGAAGAAAAGCAGAGATACATTCCTGTTTAAAAAAAAAAACCTAGGAAACAGGAATAAAATGTACCTTTATTTAATTTGATTAATAATATCTAGAACAAAAGCCAGTATTATATGTAATGGGGAAAAACTAGAAGCTTTTCCAATAAGATCAAGAGTAAAGCAAGGATGTATATTATTAACACTACAATTTAATAAAATTTAAGAAATGCTAACTATACTGTTGACAAGAAAAAGAAATCAAGGAAATAAGCATAAGCAAAAAGGAGTCAAAATCATAAGAGAACCCCTACAGAATCAACTAAAATATTGGCTGAAATAATCAACTGTAGCCAAATGGTAGGATATAAAACAAACCCACAAAAAATATCAGCATTTCTAAAGACTATCAACAAAATACACAAGGAAGAGAAAGAGAAATTTTTTTGTATTTTTAAAAACATACAAAGTATAAAGTAATTATGACTATAAAATATTTTACACCAAAAAAGAATAAATTTAAATAACTGGAGAAATATTAATTGTTCACGCATATGCCAAGCCAATATTGTAAAAAGCATAATACTATGTAAATGTACATATTCAACTATGTGCCAATTTACTAAAAGACTGCTTTATAGAGGTAGAAAAAAAATAAAAATTATTTGGAGGAACAAAAAGGTCAAGAATCTTGAGGGGAAAAAAAAGTGGAAAAGAAGGAGGCCCAGGAACAAAGCAGTACTCATCAAAACAGTTTGGTAGTGATTAAGAAACAAGACTTTAGTCACTGGAAAAACATTAGGTATACAATAAACAGCAACAAATGAACACGGGAGTCTAATGTTTGATAAACCCCAAACAGAAAGGCAGTTTGACAGAAATTAGGAACAGATCTAATTTCTCACATCATACAGCTGGACAAGGTACAACTCTCTATGTATGGAGGGAGGTAGGAGCAAGAGAAGGTATATTTTCACTGATTGAAAAAAATGAAAATGAAAATAAGACAAAATATATCATCCATTAACACTGAACTAGAAAGGGTGATAGTTCACCAACACTGTAAGAATGAAGGATAACTAACAGACAGCCTGAATATTCAACTAGTACTCATGTAACATCAAAAAACCAGAAAAACTATCAGCCATCATTAGATCACCTTTATGGGAGAATTTGTAATTTACATTGCTAAAAGGAACATCCACAACAATAATCTCAATTAGTCACTGAGGT